TCATATAAAACGTTTGAAAACGCCCAAAACACTGTAAAAATGGGGGCCCCGCAGCGTCCCACCCTCTTTAAATAAGTACTGAGTGAATGTGCACTCAAGCGGTTCAGGTTGATAGTTCCAGAGAGGTCGATGGTTGATTGTGGCTCAAGTGATCCCAGTCTACCAAAATCGCCGACTTTGTTCCCTGAAGTCTACACATAATGCCTACTTTTGGTGATCCCTCGTGTGGTGAGTGACAGAGGACAGCCTTGACTTTGGGTTCAGCGGCTGTTGCAGATATTGCCTCTGTCCGTCCTTCAATGCAAGATAAGCCACACTGTATAGGGTACATGGCACAAGTCATCTTTTTGTTTGAGGTATTTGCGCCTGCAGGTTCGACTGGGCATTCAAGGGGGCCATCCAACTGTGCAAAAGCGTTCCGAAGTCCCAGCTGCTCAGGGGCCCGCCACGAAGGCAGGCCCCACAAGTGGGCTGCGAGTGCGCCTCGCTCAAAGCGTCCGCTGTCACGAAGACAGCGACACCGATCCGGAGTCGGACTCCTAAACCCTAAATATTGTTAATACGAAAATTCCTGCATGACCGAGCTCCACTACTACACCAGAATTCCCAAGGTTTGAGGGACTTGGGGTCATGCAGGATTTTTAGTATCCACCGTAGTAGCTTTCAGTTTTTTCATAATCCCAACATAATCCCCTATATAGTCCCTATTATAGTATATATAGTCTAGTAGTTTCCATTTTCCTAAACCCTGAACCCTTTTGTGCCGTGTTCGCTGTAGGGGATGGATTGGCCTGAGTACCCTCAAGGTTCAGTCAGGAGTTTAAGGTTTAAGGTTTAGGTCAACCCCCCCTACACCAGGACCTTCCGTGTAGCCTTTAAATAGGGTAGGGATATATGGTCCCTATTTAGGGTGTATAAAGGGTAGAGGAAGGTTCTAGGCGGTAATAGCCCTTAAGTATGGAGTTAGTACGGCCTTAATATACATACAATAGTCCCATGAGGTACCCCTTACTGGATGGGGGATCGACCCAACTTTAACTACAGCTATCCAACTGATAGCCCCAGTTATAGTTGCCATGAACCTCGAAGCAACAGACAGTAGTGGAGCTTTTGTTTCAGCAAAGCGACTGGGGTGTCCAACAGGGGAAGGACCAATGGCCGCGCATGCGTTCCTTTTCTAGTCTAGTTCCTCTGAAAAGCTCCCTAAACTTTAATCTGAAATATCCCCAAAGGCTCAAGCAAGAAAGGGCACCCTAAAACCTAACCCCTAAACCCTAAACCCTGAAACGCCTGGACTGGACCCAGGTTCTGCGTTCACACGCTGGTTTCCCGAAAGGGGCTTCTGGTCGGGAGCTCAGACTCTGGCAGTGCTCCACGTCTCTACTACTGCCCCCACCCAGCAATAGTGACTACAAGACTATAAGGGATAAGGGTGACCGAATTAGGGTCTTCTTGTATTCCTGTTATACCACTATCACAGGGTGGGGGGTCTCCTATGCCGGGCTTACGTTCAGGAGTTTAGGGTTGGGGTTTTAGGACTTAAGGTTTATGGTTTTGGGAGGTAGGGTTGAGGTCAGGGTTTGGGGTTTGGGGTTATGGCCGGTCATGGGTTATGATGGGGACATGTGGGTAGTTCCCTAAATTAATCAAGAGGGGTCCATAAATATGAGAGCAACCAAAATGTGATGATTAGGCCCATAAGTCATACTAATGTCATGTATAAGTAGAGTAGGAACCCTAAACGATAAACCCTGCCCAGTATGGGGCGAATGCCAGGACGGAAAGCTGAACCTCAGCACCATAAGGACATGCAATGTTTATGTAGCAAATGGTTTCCACTTGGCCGAAATCCGCTTGTGAACTCATGACTTGTTATTGGGAGTTGGTGGACCACCAGTAAGACGATTGAATCGCCAGATACGGGTTCGAGGCGTGCATAAAGACAGGGGAACTGGAATTATGATTCTCTAACCTCATGTGAGGTACCTCTGCACAGGCTAATCACTACCAATATTGGAGTTCCCGGCCAGCAACAGCACTTTGAAGTAAAGCGCAACAGCACCCCTAAAAGAGAGCGGGAGAGACGGAGTGAGCGACGGAGGGAGCGGGTGAGAGATCTGGCGATGTTAGCGCAGTTTACGGATTGCACCTCCCCTTGACGATCTTGCAACCTCACATATAGCCCCTGGGCATGTTCAGAAGTTCAGGCACTAGTTATACCCTTTCTAAGCAACTTTTAACGTCAGAATGAAGTTTTCCTTGGAGCGCTCCGCTGTCTATAAGCCCACAAGACACATCCATTTCAGGTTCCGCTCTTTGTGCTGACAACAATCCTCGCCAAAGATGGTAAAGGTCCCAAGCACTGAGATACTGCTTCCAAGGGTGAACACACTTACAGTTTCACCCTAAACCCTAAACCCTAAAATATACTCTGTACCTGAGCCTAGATCTGAACCTGAAAGTCAACTTAAGCCACTTGTTCATATCTGCCTGCACCCATCATATGCACATATCTATATACACACATATATATGTATATGTATATGGAAAAGGCTAGACACATGTGTGTATATATCTATATAGATCTCTCTCTCTCCTACTTGGGGTGCGAGGTCCCAGGCAATCCAGCGCTGGGAGTCGTCAGGCGAACTGGGCTTTAAGGGGGCGTTGGGGAGTGAATATAGGTACCATTACAAGGGGGGTTTAGGGTAGCTTAGGGTTTAGGTACCTGGGGTCATTTTGATTTCAATGGTAAGTTTACATCGGCTTGATGGTTTAGGCTTTAGGGGTAGTTGAGGGATGTTGAGGGTTTAGGTGCCATATAGGCCCTAAAACCCTAAACCCTAAACCCTAAACAGAGTATATAGGGATTATTCTAGGGATCCAACCCCCCACTATCCCCATAGAGCCGGCGTCTTGAAGAGGATATATGGGAACATGTTGGGCTGTTTAGGGACACATCATGATACATAGTGTTTTGGGGAATGCAATGGAAAAGACCACGGAACATTAAATGAACAAGGCGTCGATATGGCGGTTTAGGCAGTTCTTGGGGCTTTTTGCAACATGTGGGTCGTCACCCCACTTCTACCCAATGGGTTCTGAGAATTCACACCTAAAACCATACCCTTGGACCTCGACAGTAGCTATGATGGCCAAAAAATCAGCACCCAAAACGTTTCTATTCTACATACCAGGACCTTCCTAGTCCCGTTAATTGGGGATACATGGCCCGTAATAGTGGGTACTTAGGCTTCAGTAGAGGGTAGGAGGAGGGCCTAGGTAGATTGGGGCTTCAGGGTTTGATGGTGCCTTCTTGCAGGATCCCGGCCCCTAAACCCTTTAGTCTTTCAATTACAAACCGTGTGAGGATTTTTTGTTGGGGCGGTTCACTCATAGATGGAGATCCTGGGGAGAAAAATTCCCTGAAAGAATTCCGCATTGGTTTGGGGGCGTTCTCTTCAGGGTAGGCATGTGCCGGTTGTGGGCGCAGGTATGCCGGCAGATACTGCGTGTTTGCAACGGCCAGCGGCCCAGAATGTATCAGAGATTGAGGCTTTTAGGGTTTGGGAGCTTAGGGTTTGGGGTTTAGGGTTTTAGGGTTGCTCAGTTATCAGGGATTCGGATATAGGGCTTCGAGTTTTAGGGTTTAGGGCTTTAGGGCTTAGAGTTTCCAGGGATTCGGATTTTCTGCTTTCGCCACCTTCCCATAAAGCTAACAGGGAACCTGATAAAGGGTTTAGGGTTCAATACCATCAGTTTCTGGCAGGGCTACCTTGGGGTTCCTTGTCAACTTGGGGATCGAAATCTGCAGTGACAGCTCACACGCAACGAAAGTAGGGCGGAAAAGAGGTAACTTCAAAAATAAAGCCTCCGCTGACCTGATGCAATCGTTCCTATATGGTTGACTCCCGAAGGGGCCGTACAGTTCGCCAGCACTCTGAAATTGACTATCGTCCCCAAGGCACAGGCCGTTCGCCAGCCTTTCGGACGTCCCTTGAAGTCCTCAACCCCAACAAGAACCACAGGCGCTTAATGGCCGAGGCTCGAATCCAAAACCCAAGGTTAAGATTTAGGGTCTAGGGTTGAAACATGTTGAAACCTTGAACCTTAAACTGTAGGCGCCAGACTCTAGACAAGACCCTCTAAGCCCTATGGACCCTAAACCTGAATCTCAAGCACCCCTAGACCCCCTATCTCTTGAATCGTAAGCCTACTCTGTAAACGCCAACTCCGAATCCCAAAACCGTGCAGGGGGGGCTGGGGGTCTTAGTAAACTCGTAACCACTAGAAGCTTGAAACGAACCCAAGTTGTCCCATTACTAGCCCACCTCAGCCACACGGTTTAGGGTTTAGGGTTTAGGGTTTAGGGTTTAGGGAATGTCCTAGCATTCTTGAAGTCTGCTTCATAAGTTATACCCTATAACACCGTGCAACAGAATCTCCAAAAGCAAGACATGCTTGGGGTCCAGGTATATGATGGGTAGATTGTACACCCTAACCCCTTAAACCCTCAACGCTTAACTCTAATGCCTATAAACTCTAGTCCCTAAACCCTACCCCCCCTAAATCCTAAACCCTAAATCCTAAGCCCTAAACCCTAAACCTAAAGGAGAGAGCCATGGCCGAGTTTTGCTCAGAGCCTGATCGCTTCTTTGGCGCTGTCCGCGAGGTGGCGGTGGGGTGATGTTACTGCTCCGGGTTTAAGGGTTTAACGGTGCAGGATTTAAGGGTTCAAGGGTTGGGGATTAAGGGTCTAGCGTTTATAGGGGTTGAGGATTTAGGGTTACTATGCTTAAGGGTGCCAATCAATGAGGGTGAGTCCAGTGACATCTTCGCTCGATGCCTGGCTGCCTGACCATCCGGCACCCACTTACGCCTTATCATAAAACTCCTTTCTGCCGACAATTGAATATTTCTTCCACCATGCACGGCCTAAAACCTAAATTCAAGCCCACTCGGTCGCCCATGAAGCGGCTCGAATGTTGTTGCAACCTGCACCCAAGCCACTCGAAGTCTGAGTTCTACCCAGGCTAAAAGCATGAGCCAGTAATATATGATAACGATAATAAGACTGCTATTACAAATAGCAGCAGCAACAAGCATAACCAGAATATCTAATAAGGCTGCCACGAACAGCAGTAGTTCATAATAGTAATGATTATGGAAATACTCCATTGTTGCGTGTTTCTATGGAAGCCGCCTCCATGATCCGTTGGGAACATCGGCCACGAGGTTTAGGCCCTGATCTCTGAGGAGAGTCGAGCGAGGACATACTCAGTACTGGACCCGTAGTGGCATTCTGGGGAAAGCCTGTAAACCCCTAACGGCCCAAGGACCCAACTAATGGGGTTTAGGGCCCAAATACTTTGATATTAATGGTATTTGGGCCCTGAAAGGCTATTATTTGGGTCCTGGACCCTTAGTTAACTGAAGTTGTTGCCGTGAACCATTTACACAACCTTAATTAGTTTCCGTGCGCCTTATGCTTGCGAGCAGGACAGAAAAGGTGCATGCGAGGCTCCTTGTGATAGTTGAAGTTGTCCCAGCATTTTTTCTCTGCATGAATCGCGTGTGCATAACAGCGCCCATATCCGAATTTTGCCCTACGCCCTAGACGGTAAAGCAAAACATGGGCTTGCTCATGTGAAGCCTCCAAATTCTAGATGTCCTGAGACAATCCCCAAGAAATAGCCTTAACTCCAAAACCCAAAACCTTAATTTTGTTGGGGATGGTTCTGGGCAGATCCAGATGTCAAGCCCCTAACTACCTCCCTCTAAGAATACCCCCTCGTGGGTACCACTAGATATTGGGGGTAACATGCGTGATTATGTGGTTTGGTGGGGTAAATTCTAAGTCCTAAACCTTAAATCCTAAACCCAAAACCCTGACGCCTAAATCCTAATCCCTAAATCCTAACTCCTAGACCCTGAACCACCGGATTAATCTTTGAAGGCCTGCTACAAGCAGCCGGAGTTCATCCATCTGCTTCGGGTTCATGAGGACAGTGCACCATCTTCCTAGCCATGATGTGAACACCTGCCTCATCTTGGTTCGGGTTTAGGGTTTGGCGTATAGGGTTTAGGGTATAATGTAGGGAGTATATAGGGATGATGGAAAATGAAACGGAAACTACTATGTAGGCTTTATAGGGTTTAGGGTATAGAGTTGAGG